GAGCAAGACAGTAACATCTCCAATAAGGAATTACAAATTTTCTGAAAACTTAAAAAAGAGCAAGAGCCTCCTACCATGTCTCTGGCCCCTGACTGAGATGGACTATAAAGACCATGAGGACATTAAGTGACCATGAAGCCAGAACGTCCCGGCATGGGCAGGTCCTGTCAGACCACCAAGAGGAGGGCATGCAGTTATCAATTATAAATTGGAACTTGTTCATGTGGTGTTTGGTACAAACAGGCAATCAGGCACAGCCAGGCTGCCTGAACAGGTGATCCAGACCCCCATGACATCCTTAGTGTTGGCACTGCTACCTCTTATAAGGAGGGAGACAGTATTAAGAACAGCTGGTAGAGAAGGGAAAGGGTTGAGCCTGGTTTACAATGGGTTGGCTCAGTATGTGGTGCAAGCCAAAAACTGGTTGCAGGCCCACCATAGCTCCAGAAGACAATGTTGAGGGGAAATCTAGTGGTAAAACATGGCCAGAAGTCTCTTTGAACATCCACTCTATACGGAAAGAGGAAAGGCTCCAGGGTTGGGAAACATTTGGACCTGTGTGGAATGGCAAGTGGCTTGATGGGTTGACCAGGGATGTGGAATATAAAGATCAGAAGATCTGGCACAAGATCTTGAGGCAAGGCAGGTGGACCTATGGAATGGGCATGAAGTATTTCCTACCCAGGGGCATCTACCACACAGGAAACACCAAAAAACAAGGTGAACAGAGTGACAGGGCCAGTTGACACCTACCAGCCTCTGCCCGTGCTGTTCCAGCCCTGACACATGGTTACTCTTCAGCAGAGTAGCCCTGGGGGAGAGGTAGAGGCTGTGCATGGCCTCAGCACCATGACGTTCCTGCTCACCAGAGCCAATTTAACTTTTTCTCTGCTGAACATCCAAACTTCCAACAGAGACCAAAGGCCGAGTGGCACCATGCTTTGGTGGCAGATTGACAATGCTGAACCATCTTATGCCCTGAAATGTACTTTTTTTTTGAGATGGGGTTTTGAACTTGTGGGCTCAAGATATCGTCCCACTTTAGCCTCTCAAATAGGTGAGACTACAGCTGTGCCCCCCTGCACCCCACTCCAGGGTGATTCATTTTAATTGAATTGACACATGTTCTAGGCGTGTGTTCACCTTTCCCATTCACACTACCTTGTTGGCTCCATACCCCAAGGCTCCTGGAACACTTAATCAACCGATGCAGGATCCACAGAGCTGAGGCTGCTGCAGTGGGCACATGGCAGTGGCACAGACAGGCCTCCCGCTGCTCTCTCCCAGCTGCACGCCCAGACAGTGCTACTCCACAGAGCAGCAGAATGGCCTGTGGAGGCACAGCTTGGGGCTGGCACCCTGCAGAGGGGCAGCAGCCCCAAGGTGCAGTGTACAGTCTTCCTTCGACTGTTACTGGTGCTGTGTCCCCAGCATGTGATAAACAGGCCTGGGAGCTGAAAGGTGGATGTTATCACTCCCAGTAGCCACTTAGGACATGTGTGTTCCCACACACCCCTCTGGGTTCTGCAGGTCTAGAAGTTGGACTCTCGGAGGGAAACTTTCCACAGGAGCACAGGAAAAGCCCATTGGATTTCAAGCACATTCCAGTCTCCTTGTGCTGAGAGACTGGCAGGCAAGGAGTGCAGTCTCCATCCTGGCAGGGTGATCAGCCCTGGGTGTAGGAGGAGGTACAGTTGCTACTACCTAGCACGGCCAAGGTAGGACCCAGGACATATGATTGGTCACCTCCCTTCCCAAATTTAATGGCAAAGACTGGCAGCATGGCCAGAGAAAGGCACAATGAGCAGACCTTACCTTTCAGAAATGAGGCTTTGGGTCACTCGATCCAGAGCCATCTAGATCAGCAGAGGTGCTAAGCCAGGTAAGGGGACCTTAGGTGGGAGTGGAGGGAGATGGGTGTCATTTCAACCTGAGACTAGCTGCAGCCGTAAGACATGGTTCATCCCATCAACTTCCTTTTCTAAAGAAGAGGCCACCAGATCCTCCAATTGCTGTCTGAACAGTGTAGTGTGGACCTCAGTGAGTGCTGTGGGTGCCCAGCTTTCCCATTAGGAGCCACTGGGACAGCCTCTCCTGGTGACCCTCCCAGCCACAGAGCTCCTGTGCCCAACAGTACATTCCTTTCCCCAAGAGCAATGAATCCAAGGACTGATTGGTGCTTGAGTATAAAGGCCCAGCTCTCCTGACCTCCTGGGGACCCTGTGTAGGGCCAGGCTCAGCCCAGAGAGGTCCTGAAGGGACTGTGTCTTAGCCAGTTCCTTTATTGGTCTGGCCCTGCCTCCTCCATTCCTTAATTGCAAACCAGTGTGAACCTCTGTTACAGAGACAGCCTTCCAGGGGACTTGACCCATGCCAGGGTACATGGGTAACGTTTTCATGTACATAAATGGGGAGACTTGGTTATTGTTCTAAAGAATGGAGTCATGATGTTCAGTCCATGGATACAGCTGTAGTTCATTCTTTTTAATGGCTCTGTGGTTTATCATGCGAATGTCACATTATTTGTTCAGCTTTCCTCTTGATTGAGGTCTACTTTGTTTTCACCCTTTTGACATATGAGGAACACTGCTGTAAACATTTGTTTTAAACCTATTTTACCGTTGCATATATATGTACGAAGTAGTTAGCTAACATGTTTGTTTTGTTAAATGACCGATGGGTTTCATATCTCTGATTTTTGTTGAGGTTCTTTCTCCCTCCCTTTCTCTCTCAGCCTCCCATCATATAGATAAACTCACGTATCTTTAAGTTTATTCATCCAAATTTCACAGCCTACTCCCTTAATTAGGAAAGAGAACACTGGTAGCATTCCTGGAAGCCCATTATATTCTCACTTTGGATCATTTCTCCTCTCAGTTCCTAACAGCAGTGTTTGGATTTTTAATTTCAATCAGGATGCTAAATATTCACATTTTTACCAGCAATGCATAAGACCCCCTCTTCCCCTTTATCTCCAGCCATGTGTCACTTCATGGCAGGGACACATTCTGAGATTTGCCTTCGTGGGTGATTTCTTCATTGTGTGAACATTATAAAATGTTTTTACATAAACTAGGACAGCTGTGATATCACCAGGTGATATCTTATAAGGACTACTGTCCTATATGCTGTCTGTTGTTCACCAAACTGTCCTTATGTGGACATGGTTTTAATTCACATTTCCTTAACTACTAGTGAGTTTCTGTATTATGTTTGTTTGCTCTTGGGGTTTGCTATTTTATGTATTGCCTTCCTATACTTGGCTTATTTTCTATTGAGTTATTTTTCTTTTCTTGTCAATATATAAGAGATTGTTGTATAATTTAGGAATTAGCCCTGTGTCATTGTCATTTTTGTTTCAAATAGATTTCCAAATGCTTTGGTTATGGTTGTACCCACTCTATTTATTTATTTATTTCCCCACTCTATTTATTAGTTTGTCCTTTTCTATTGAGCTGAAATGCTATCTTTGTTATTTATGAAGTTATCACAAGTTCTGGGATCAGTTTCTGAATTGTCTATTCTGTTCTAGAGGTCTTTTCATATATTCCTATTCATATACCATGTAGATTTGATTACAGTAGCTTTATGTGTATCCTGATAATCTGGCAAGGCAAGTCTTTTATTTTTAAATTTACATTCCTTGTCTATCTGCTTTTAATTTTTTTGAGTACGTATTTGTAGTAAAATTAATATTTATATTCCTTGTGTGGAATCAGTACATGTACATAACACCTTTCCCTCCTCTCCATCCCACTCCCTCCCCCATCTCTTGATCCCTTTCCCATTTGAGAAAGATCTATCTCTCTACTTCCTATCATCTTTTACTTTGTTCTTTATTTATAATTTAGGTTTTTCATATTAAGTGAAATCATACAATATCTAAGCTTGTATGTCTGATTTATTTCACTTAACATTATGGTCTCATGGTGCCTTCATTTTCCTACAAATGACTCAAATTTATCTTTATGGCAGAGTAGTACCCCATTTTGTATGGATATCACATTTTCTTTATCTGTTCAGCTGTTGATGGACATATAGGCCACTTCTAAGATTTAGTTATTCTGAATTGAGCCTCTATACCATGGGTGTGCATGGATCACTATGATATGATGGCTTTAGCTCTTTCGGGAAGACACCCAGAAGGAGAAGAGCTGAGTCAAATGGAATTTCTAGTTTTAGTTTCTTGAAGAATCTTCATACTGATTTCCATATTGGTTGTTCTAGTTTACATTCCCACCAATAATGAGGAAGGGTTCCTTTTGTCCTGGAGCCTTGCCAGCATTTGTTATCTTCAGATATTTAGTTTTTCACATGCACTTTGAAGTTACTAAGGTGCTGTCTTAAAATAAAAAAGAGCTGGGGATGTAGCTCAGTGAGAAGACCCTGGTTCAATCCACACTAACAAAACAAAACAGAGCAAAAACAAAGCACACAGACACCCAAGTCATTCTGCTTTGAGTGGAACCCTTGTTCTACCACTTAGTGTTCAGGCTAGGCCTCCGAAAATTAAAACAAAATCTAAGTTAGATGTTTGCATTAATGATGTTTTACTGACTCTTCCTCTGCAATATTATTGAGTTTAAGAGCTTCCTCAATGCTGGTGGGGGAGCTTGGAGGCAGAGCCCTTGCCTAGCATTTATCAGGTCCTGGGTTTCATCCACAGCACCAAAGAGAAGAGAAAAATCCTTGAACCTTTAAACTTTCAAAGTTCCTGTAAAATGTAGACTTTGGGTTTTCAAAATCAAGCATTCCAATGCAAATGCCAAGTAATTATTTTTAATAAACATTTCATATTTACATAGATTTGAAAATATTTCACATGATTAGTTATTATAATGGTAATATATGATTGTGAATTTTATTACAATAAAATTTATTTTAAGAAAAATGCATGCAAAGAATATGATTATGCCAGCTATTTTCAATGTCTACTAATTGTATGATTTATATTTCAAACTTTCTTTAATGCTTTATATTTCGTTTTTGTTTTTCTAAAGCTGTAGATGTGACCAACAAATCCAGTGCTAGGTATTCAGTGCTACTGGAAGGCGGGAGAGACCGATCTCTGGAAGGAAGGGTAAGCCACTGCAGATGTGGATAATATGCCAGCCAGCGTGCATACGGCTGTCTGTTCCCCAAGAGCACACGTGGAGTCTCTGGGGCGGAGGGAAGGGAGCACGAGCACGCGGACCTCCACTGGGACCGTGCCAAGTCCTGGGACAGGAGGGGCTTAGAGTGCCCAGTAGTGCAGGAAGGGTGGCTGACCCACCCACCCACTCTGTACTGTTCCCGTGTGCTTGTCTGGGTGGCGGGGACAGCAGGTCGGGGTGTCTTTCTGAAGTATGGAAGTTGTACCTGAGCTGAGGTCCAATGGGTGACCAGGAGTTAGCCAGACGGAAGAGTCCACTTTTAGAGTGTGGGGGAGGGATGCTGAGGACATTTTTCAGGTTAAGGGGACTTGGGAGTGGTGGAAATAAGCAGAAGTGGTACAAAGCCCACAGTGGACGAGTTAAGCACTTTGGCCTAGAGAGGAAAGAGAAGAGGTCCTGTCATTAAAGACCTTATATATGAGGCCCAGATGTAGCTCAGTGGCACCGCGCCTGCCTGGCAAGCACATCCTGAGTTCGATTCCCAGTACAAAAAAAATAAAAAGAACTTATATATGAAACAGTGGTGGAGGCAGTCTAGGGGTTAAGTGAATGGACTCTAGAGCAAACTATTTGTGCTCAGGTCCTGTCCTAACTTAATTCAAACTTAAATTCCCTGTAGCAGAATAGGCATAATAATAGGACCTATCACTTGGTATGCTAGGATGATTATTCAGCTCTGCAATTTTGAAAAAACATGTACTTCCTGACATATATTAAAGTTGCTTAAAATATGACAAGTTTTAAAAGTTGCAAGGGGGCCGGGTATTTAGCTCAGTGGTTCTGCTACCTGCCTCGCAAGCGTAAGGACCCAAGTTCGATCCCCGGTACCAAAAAAAAAAAAATCATTCTGCAAAAGTTGCAAGGGACATGCTTTCTGGTATCTTGTTAATATTGACATTTGAACTATGTCCCCTATGAATGTGATAGCCACAATCATCCCCTTAAAAAAATACATGAACAAGATCTTCAACAGACTGAAATCTTTTTTTTTCTTTTTCTTTTCCTCATTGAACTCCTTTTCTTGTATACTCCACAGAATTTTTAATTAATATAATTTTATGGTTGAAAATTTGTTCTTGAAAACCATATAATTTCTCTGCAATAAAAATGAATGTAAGTTTAAAAATTTCCATGACACATGACCAAGTGTTGAAATATTTTCTTTAAAAATTATTTTAAATTAATATGAACACATAGTTGTTAAAAATAAAATGTTATTGTAAGTGAATCTTATGATGATGGATAGGGGTGCTTTTTCCCCATCGGGTATTTAGTTTGTGGATCTATCAAGGTATATTGTACACTGCTGGAATGAGAAAGAAGATCACTGCTGAGCTATTTTTTTAATTAATAAGTAGATTAACATATTTTTAAATAGTTTTGGTGATCTCATTTTCTCTATAACTGGCCTTTACTTGCAAGTTGTAAGTTATTAATCCTCTCTCTTATGCACAGACACAACATCCTCCATCCCTGGGACCTCTCATAGCCAGGGGCCAATGGAGGCATGTTGAGCTCCTGCCTACGCCAGCCCTGGGACTCAGATGTGCACACTTCCCATGGTAGAGAAAAGTCACTGTTCTAGAAGACACTATAGTTTCACTGGAAAGTGTGGTCCTAAGCTGGTGTAGATGTGTAGAGCACTTGCATAGCACATACAAGGCCTTGGGGTCCATCCCTAGTTACAAATAAGGGTGGGGGGGAGTACAGTCATAAATAATGTGAAGCTTGTGTTCTCACATTATCTTTTCCAAGTTTTACCAGAAATTAGTTTGGTTTGCAGGTCTGTCTTACGAATCCATGTTTCAATGAAATTGTTTCCACTTCTCTGCAGAATCCTAAATCTTTAACAAGCCAAGCATCAAGAGGCTCTATCAGGCTCTCCCCTCAGTCCTCCAGGGCCAGGCTCAGAGGTCAGCTGTCTGCTGACCAAAAGCAGAAGAGCATCAGCCCTTTGGCTCTTTCCAGCTATTTGATTCCACAGTATAATGAAGAAGCTTCAGTTCTACAGAGAACAGAGAATAAGAGAAAGCATTTCCTAAAGGAAATTACAAACAAGGAAAATAAGGAAAGCATGAATCTTAAAAGAAAATGTGTTACGTATGGCAATTTGTCAGAGAAAGCAAGTAAGCACTTGGCATCAGAAGAGGAGGCTAACAAGGTTGAAGCCTACCTAACCTCTGGGGACTCAGGACACATTTGTGATATTAGGTATTTGGATGATTTGGCAAAAAGCCAACTGACAGAAGCACTCAAGCAGACGGCAGCCCTGGTAGTGACCCTGATGTATAAGGACGGTTCCACACAGCTAAGAGCTGACCAGGTTAGTAAACAGTGCTGGTTTTTGCTTTGGATCCATAAAAGAAGCCTCTTTTCCTTTTTTTTTTTTGTTTTTTTGGTACCAGGGATTAAACTCAGGACCTCGTGCTTGCCAGGCAGGCACTGTGCAACTGAGCTACATCCCTGGCCCAAGAAGCCTCTTTTCTTAGTCTGTTCTTTTCTTTTTTTAAGATCCATCTTTTATTTAATTTAATTAATTTATTTATTTGGTACCGGGGATTGAACTCGGGTCCTTGTGCTTGAGAGACAGGCATCAGAACCACTGAGCTAAATCCCTGGCCGTCTTAGTCTGTTTTTGATAGGAGAGCTAGAATAAGTTTTAAGGTCTTCTCCTCCTTTCAGTGGAGAGTCAGTGATGCTGTATAGTTCCCATCAGTTTTTGTTTTTGTTTTTTGGTACCAGGGATTGAACTCGGGACCTTGTGCTTGCAAGGCAGGTGCCAGAACCACTGAGCTAAATCCCCGGCCCCTCCCATCAGTTTTTTAGATAACTGCCAAATTGCTTTCTAGAAGGGTGCACCAGTTTATAGTCATCCCACCGGTATTGTACCAGGGCTTCAAACTTTCCACTCATTGAATGTATTTGTCTTTTCTTTTTATTTTAAGCCATTTAAATGGGTGTAAAGTGGTCTTTCATTGTTCTTTTAAATTACATTAACCTGCCGGGTGTGGTGGCACAGGCCTGTAATTCAAGCACTTGGGAGGCTGAGGCAGGAGGCTCGCTGTGAGTTTGAGGTCAGCCTGGGCTACCTTCTGAGTTCAAGGCCAGCTTGAATTAGAGAGCGAGGGCCCTGTTTAAAAAAAATACACTAACCTAATAACTATGACATTGCACATCTTTTTGTGTGCTTATTAGCCCTTCATCTATCATCTTTGGTGAAACTCAATTTTTTTGGCCCATTTAAAATTGGCTTATTTAAGGCCGGGGATTTAGCTCAGTGGTGCTGCTGCCTGCCTCGCAAGCACAAGGTCCCGAGTTTGATCCCTGGTACAAAAAAAAAAAAAATTGGCTTATTTGTGTTTTATTTTGGACCTAAGAGAGTTCTTTATATATTCTGATTTAATAATATAAGATATATGATTTGTAGTTCACCCAATCTATGTCTCATTTCAAAAAAATTTCTTGATGGTGTCTTTTGAGGAATAAAATGTTTTAAATCTAATGAACTCTAGTTTTTAAAATTTTTGTTGCCTGTGGTTTTGTTATTATATCTAAGAATGCTTTGTCTATCCCAGGTCATGAAGATTTATTCTTGTTTTGTTGTTGTTTTGTTTTGTTATTATGGTATTTGAACCTAGGGCTTTTGCACTGAGCTGCATCCCCAGTCCTTTTATATATATTTTTTTGTTTTGTTTTGTTTTGTTTTGGTACCGTGGATCGAACTCGGGTCCTTGCGCTTGCGCAACAGGCAATGAAACCACTGAGCTAAATCCCCAGCCCTCTTTTATATTTTTTATTTTGAGTCCGGGCCCCACTAAGTTGCTAAGTTACCCAGGCTGGGCTGCCAGGCCTGTGACCATCCTGCATCAGCCTCCCAGAATGCCAGGATTATAGGCATACTCCATCGCGTCTGCCTCTTGGTTTTCTTCTAAGGGTTTTATAGTTTTGGCACTCTCATTTAGATGAGTGACCCACCCTAAGTTACAGTGTGCAGGGCAGGAGATCAGGGCAGAAACTCACCTTTGCATGTGGCCATCCAGGTAGCTGCCCAGTATCATTTGTTGAAAAGGCTCTTTTCCCTATTGAATTTTCTTAGTACTTTTATTAAAAATGAATTGAGTGTAAATCTAAGGATGTATTTTTGGATATTGAATTCTTTCCCTTGACCTTTGTGTCTACCCTATGTCAGCATCATCTTCCTTCCTTCCTTCCTTCCTTTCTTCCTTCCCCTCCCTCCCTCTTTCTTTCTTTCTTCTTCCTCCCTCCCTCCTTTCTTTCCTTCTTTCTTTCTTTCTCTCTCTCTCCTTCCTTCCTTCTTTCTCTTTCTTTCTTTCTTTCTTTCTCTCTCCTTCCTTCTTTCTTTCTCTTTCTCTCTTTCTCTCTTTCTCTCTTTCTTTCTTTCTTTCTTTCTTCCTTTCTTCCTTTCTTCCTTTCTTCCTTTCCTTTCCACAGGGTCTGGCTATGCAGTTCAAACTCATGGTGATCCCCTGCCTCAGCCTCCTGAGTGCTGGGATTATAAGCATGCACCACCACACCCAGTTTGCACCATATTTCTTGATTACTGAAGCTTTGTAGTTCAGTTTTTGAACTCAAGAAGCACGAGTCATTCAACTTAGTTCATCTTTTTCAAGATTGCTTTATGTGTTATGGTTCTTTGGTATTTCCATATAAATATTAGGATTAGTTTGTCAATTTCTGCAATCAGCTGGGATTTTGATTCAAATTGTGTTGTAATTGTAGGTTAATTTGGGGAGTCTTGCCATCTTAATCATATTGAGTTTTCTGATTATGAACATGGGCTATCTCTTCATTTATTTAAAACTTTAATTTTGTTTAGCAGTGTACTGTAGTTTTCAGTGTGATATGCAGGTCCTTCCTTCCTTCTTTCATTTTTCCTCCCTTCCTTCTTTCTTTTCTTCCTTGTTTCTCTGTGTTGTCTAAGCTGGTCTCGAGCTCCTGGGGTCAAGCAATTTTGCCTCAGCCTCCTAAATACCAGGTACTACTGAATCACATCACCATGCCTATTTTGAAAGACATTTTGCTGGCTAAAGAATGTTAGGTTTTTTTCTTCTTTCAGTAGTTTAAACATGTTACTCTACTGTCTTCTAACTTTATTTCCCACAAGAAATATGCTATTATCCTTATTTTTGGTTCTCTGTATGATCAGCTTCTATTAAGATTTTTCCTTTATCACCGATTTAAGGAGTTTTTGTATATTTGTTTTTGAGAAAAATCTTGAACTCTCTATGTAGCCCAGGCTGGATTTGAACTCGAAATCCTCTGCCTCACCCTCCAGAGTGCTGGGATTACAGATGTGGGCCACCACACCCAGCTAAGTTTAAACTATTTGATCATGATGTAGTTTTCTTGGAGTAGCTTTCTTCATGTTTCTTGTACCTAAGGTTTATTGACCTTCCTGGGTAACTTGGGGAGGAATATCATATTTATTAAGTTGAATTTTCCAATCTTTGAATATGATATGTCTTGGTTATTTACATCTCTGATTTCTTTCATCAGTATTTTGTAGTTTTCAGCACACAAATTCTATGCATGTTTTGTTCATTTTTTTGGCCTTTTTCAGTTTTTTGAAGTTATGATAAATGGCAGTTTAAATTTTTTATTTTCATATATTTATTGCCAGTGTGTAGAAATATATTTGATTTTTTATTTTCGTATTTTGATTTTATATTCTGAAACCCTGTCACATTCACATTTTAGTTCCAGGATTTTGTGGGAGTTTTTGGTACTAGGGATCGAACTTGGGACCTTGCGCTTGCAAGGCAGGCAGCGGCACCACTGAGCTAAATCCCCAGCCCTAGTTCCAGGATTAAAAAAAAATAGATTCATTTGGATTTTCCACATAGTTATTCATGTCATTTGTCAATAGGGACAGTGTGATTCTTCCTCTTTGATCTACATGCCTATTATTTCCTTTTCCTGTCATATTGTACTGGCTAAGACTTCTATGATTATATTGAGTAGGGTAGAAACCAGACTTGGAGAGTAAAATTATAGGCGTAACTTTAGACCTTTTATCTCCCAACCTGTTTAATTATAAAATGACGTATCTTGCTCAAATAGACATTTTGTCTGTGTTTAACTTTGGAACTTCACTGTGTATTCCCAGGCTCCGACTTCCTGTGTTAGAGGGATTGTCATGTTACTGAAGAGCCAGGTGGAAGCAGGCTCTTCCTGGAGCCTGGCGGAGGGATTTAAGCAGGAGGATCGGTGCATCTACATACACACAGAGCATGCCTGTCTCCGGGGCCAGGAACAGGAGGCGCACAGGATATTTGCCAGGTAAGAAACCTTCACTGATTACCTTCAGTTCTTACATCCTGCTTCATCCTAATGTAGTTGACTGAGCTCCAGTTTTAATTATTTAGGCTTTAGAGATTTTTTTGTGGACAAATGAAAATAAAACAGATCTAAATGAAATGGATCTAAATGTAAACCCTGGCTCCTCCCCCCAGAGCTTTTGAAGTGAGCCCCACTGGTTCTGCAGGAGGCTGCTCAGGTTTGAATCTCTTCACAGTGAGAACTTGGGGAGTAAAGCCTCATCCCAAGTCTGAAAACCCACTCTCACTGCCAGGGCCCAGATGACTTCCCAGCCCTCTTCCCTCTTCCCTCACATATGAAAAAATGCGCTATCTCTGCCTGCAAAGTCAGTTACCCTCTCTGCCACTAAGTGGTACCAGCTTCAATGATGTATGTCTGTGAAAATACAGTTTGGAGGGGGCCGGATTTAGCTCAGTGGTGCCACTGCCTGCCTCGCAAGTGCAAGGTGCAAAGTTTGATCCCCTGTACCAAAAAAAAAATACAGTTTGGAAGTAGCTTGACCCTCTGTGATGGCTTGTGTCTGGGTGTCCCCCCAAAGCCTCATGCATTCATAAGTAGGGCTTTTCAGAAGTGGCTGGATCAAGGGTGTGTGATTAGTAAACTAGTACTAGTACTAGTACTAATTAGTAAATTAGTAAACCTGATTGGGTTCTGGATAACTTTTGGGAAGACGAAGACAGTGTTGACAAATGTTCCAGATTTATATATGCTGCTCACATTCTCCACTTGGACATCCGGTGACCTTTCAGGCTCATGCATCCCGAGCCCCATATTCTCTGCTGCTCCTCTGCAGTCTGGCTGAGGGGGCCCATGGCATCACCAGCCGCCATAATCTCAGGCCAAAAGGCTTGGTACTATCTTTGACTTTGATTTTTCCATGAACAGTATCCTAGTTCTTAGTGACCCCTATTGGCTCCACTTCAAGAAGTAGCTGGACTCTGTTCTACTCTCACCCACTCTGCTGCTGCCACCGGGCAAGCTGTTCCCTGGTGAACTTCGGCAACATCTTCCTGCCTGGACAGCTGTTCCACCTGCCCCTTCAGCCCAGCTGTCAGAGGGAAAACATCAGTCAGATCGTGTCACTCCCCGTCGAAACCCTCTGATAGCTTCTTGTTCTGAAGCAAAGTAAGAGTTCCTGTCACTGACCGAGTCAGTGGGATCCTTCTGCCATGCCTATTCCCCTCCCCTGCCTCAGGGTGCTCAGCCCCTCACCACAACTGTGCACACCCTCCCCTCCTTGCAGCACCCTCCCAGATAGCCACACGGCTTGCTGCCTCATTCCATTACATTTTTCTCTAATCCAACAAAAAGTGAATTATGAAAACACAGAAGTAGAGGGTAACATTACACTCACCTAGACAAACATCACCAGATTTTTGGATACTTCTTTCATCTGTCCCTTTATAGAGGTGGCTGAGAGGGCTGGATTTAAAGGAAATCACAGACTAGCCATTCACCCTCACCTAAGGGACAGCTCCAAGAAACATGGGCTTTTTTTTTTCATAGCCACAATACTATTTTCAAACTTAAATGTAATGTCCAATTCAAATTTAAAGTCATCTGATTGTCTCAAAATGTCTTTCTACAATATTGGGGTCAGGGGCCCAACAATGCCCACACATAATGTTTGGTGGGCTTATCTCTCCTCTTCTAGTCTAAACCATCTTGCAAAAGGTCCCATGTCCTTTATTTGTCTATTTATTTCATTGTGAGATTCTTCAACTTGTTTTCCTTTCCTCTTTATTTAGTGTACACTGACATTTTGTTCTAAAGACTTGATCCAGGTTTTGTTTTTTTTTCTCAGTCTTATCTTTTACATTTATTAGCTAGAATTTCTGAAAAGAGCTCTCCATCAGCTAGGCTTTTTGTTCTTATCTTTCATGTCTTCCTCGTGTGTTACTTGTTAGCCAGGCCTTTCCTAACCATCTGGATAAAATAGTACCCACCTAGCACCACCCACACCCCCTTCCTCATTTTCTTCTGTAATACCTACCACCAGCACCATTGTATATGTCTACTTATTTATTGTTTTCCATGTATCCACTTCTAAGAGCAGGGATTTTTGTTTCATTTATTTTTGCATCCCCACGTCTAAGAACAGTGCCACATGACAGGTGGTTAATATTTATTCAGTTTTTATATTGAATAAGTGAGTATTGAAGCTTCATTTTTATAAATTCCAGGATAATTATATGAAGATAATGCCTCAAATACCATAAAATTGTAGTAATAATCCCAATTCTATAATAGTGTCTTTGGGATTCAAAATGAATTTATATAAGGCACATTTAATTTACTATTTTTTTTTACTCTTTCATACATTTTATTTGTTTTTTGTTTTGTGGGTTTTGGGGGGGTCTTTTGAGACAGGGTCTTGCTTTGTAGCCCAGGCTGGCCTTGAACTCATGGCGATTCTCCTGCCTTACCCTCCTGAGTGCTGGGATTATAGGCATGCAGCACGATGCCCAGCCACTTTCATACATTTTAAAGTTGGTATCTAACATTTTTTGTTATAAGTTTAAAAGTTGTAAAATATAATTATTGTGACTATTAGTATAATAAAACTATGAACTCATTTTTAAATGGATTTAAAGGAATATAAATATAAAATAATTTTCTATTATTTTGTATCAGGAGTCACTAGAGGAACAGATTTAATATAAAAAATATATATGATATATAAAGGCTATTCAAAGTAGGCTTACAATGGCTGCCTGCGGAGTCAGGGTGGAAGAATGCAAAATGGCCACTTGCCCACTGGAGAGCCAGAGGACCCAGTCAAAAGTCAAAGGCCTGGAGCTCACTGCAGAGTCCTGTGTGAGTTCGTATTAGAAAGCCAAAGGGTCTACATTGGAAGGCTCAAGGAACTGGAGATGAATGTCCAAAGGTGATGGAGAAGACCAGAGCACCTTCCAAGAACCAAAAGGGCTAATTTACTATTAAAGCATGTAATTTTTTGCAAAAACATACTTAATACCATTTATTAGCTATATATGCAAGGTCCTTTCATGCACAAGATCTTTCATCTTTATAATATCTCCATATATTGGGTATTAATTCCATCTTTCAGATGAGGAAATTGAGACTGAGAGAGATAATTAAAGCTATATATCAGTCTTGTGAGTTTTGACTCAAATTTTTGTTTTTAGGTCCAAATCTAGCTTTTTTATTTTTATTTTTTGCAGTGCTGGGGATGAAACCCAGTGTATTGCACATGCTGAAAACACCATTGAGCTATATCCCCAACCCTGCCTAACTTAAAATATGTTATAGCTGGCTTTTTGTTTTGTAAATGTGATGTAATTGACTTACACAGTTGGCTCATAAAATACATTCTGTTTTAGCTTTTTTATCTTATAAGATCTTTTGTTCTTTGTCTTATCAAGCAGACATCAGTGGCCTGTGGTCCCCAGCAGAAGGCCCAGTGGCTATTAGATACTTCTCCCAGGACCTGCAGGGGCTTCAAGCACCCTTCTCCCTGTAACCGCATCCCTCTCTCGTCTCTGTCCCCCTGTGGGTCTCTCCGGGGTCTGTCCAAGCCAAGACCAGAGCTATGCTGCTGACATTTTCCCCTCTCTGCCACCTGGGCTCCCTGTTTAAAGAAACCAAGGGGAAGTCACGTAACTTGAAAAAAGCCTGAAAATGTCTCTCTCTGGAGTGAAACAAGTGAAGTCCTACTATAAATTTACTTCATCTGTGGGGCTCATTAGACTCCGAGTTTCTTCCTTTCTCAGCCCTATCCAAAGAACCTCATTAATGTATTCATAAGCATTTACTATGCAGGGGATTCATACCTTGGTGGCTTAGAGTTTAAGCTCTGGTCTCAGAGCCCTGTGTCGCCACTCATCATATGTGACTTCTGGAAGCTAAGGTCCCTCACCTATGAAATGGGCAGAATGTATAGAGGCAGAATGGAGTTTCGGTGTGCAACCCTTGTGAAGTGTTAGCGTGGTACTGGCACATGGTAAGCATTCAATAGACACGAACTGTTACGAGTCCCATATTCAAGGAGCTCATGAGTTACAGTCCAGCAAATGCAGATCCTTGTGTGCTTGTTATGTGGACGGAGTACAGGAGGCACAAGGAGGCCTGCTCCCCTCTGAGGACAGCACTTGAGTAAGTTACAGAGTTGTGGGAGGGGAACTATAGTCCAGAATGAGCAAGTGCAGTGGCCCAGGAGCCAGAGGGAAATGGCACAGTCCAGTGATGGAGGGCAGGACTCAGCATGAAGGAAGGTGGAATGTCTGAGGGGTTCCAGGATTGCAGGTTGGGGCACTGCTTTGGGGCCCAGCATCTGGAGTCGAGAATATGTAAGCTTTCTCCAGAAATTCAGACCTCATTCTGCAGCCTGTGTCTGTCCTTCATCTTCTACAACATGCAGATAAGAAATAATGCCTGCCTCACAGAATTCATTGCTAAGGCATATATATACTAAGTAATGACAGCTTTTAATAGAGTATTAATAATATTTTTTCCAAGGTCACAAGTTCTGAATTAATGTCCAATCAGTGAATTTCTTTCCATCTTCTAGGAATGTGCTATTTCAAACACTGAAATGTAAATGCCCTGTTATTTGTTTTAATGCCAAGGACTTTGTGAGAACAGTACTGCAATTTTTTGATGATGATGGCAGTTGGAGGCATGGTAAGTTACTCTTACATTGTCTTTACAGTTTAACTCTTCATCAGTGACACCTCTGGGGTGGGAGGATAGTGAAGGTCACTGAGTCACAAGCTCCAGGTCACCTGGCCACACCTGTACTGACATATATGCCCACTCATCTGCCCTAGCCTCAGGGAAGCCCTCTCCCCTGTGGGGCTAAGTGATACCTGAGCTTTCACCAGTATATATCCCTTTGGTAATTTAAAGTTGGAAAAAATTAACTTCTGCAGCAGTCAAACTGGGATTTGTTGTTATCACAAAGGTAAAACTTCCTAAGAATTAATAAACTACAGTCCGAAGCAATTAACATCAAAATAATGTCAGAGACATTTTATCTTTCATTTGAAATAGTAGAGAGATTTTTTAATAACTTTTTTACTAGTTAAGTAGATAAATGATAAATTTAGCAAAAATGTTCACTGTAGGCCCAGGGATTTAGCCCAGTGGTTTCGCCGCCTGCTGCACAAGGGTAAGGACCTGAGTTTGATCCCCAATACCCCCCCCAAAAAAGTTCACTGTAGAATCTAGGTAGTGAACAATTGAGTGTTCACCCTACAGTTCTTTTCAAATTGTATGTTTGGAGATATTCATAATAAAAATATCAGAAAACACCTTTTAATTATATCAACCCATAGACAGTCTTTTTCCTCTGGGACTCCCCACACTCCAAACTCTGCAAATTACCAGCATTATATAATTAATCTCAAAATATTTCAGTTGTGTGACTGAAATACAAAGATTCCTGCTTAAAATGATGCCATCATCCCCCACAGAGGCTGCAGCGATCTCTTCATGAGGAGCTGCCCAGCTGATGTTTGAATTTCCACTCTTGTCCTGTAACTTTTTATTTGCTTACCTTTTTTGTGATGTTAGAAGCAATCGATTGTCATTGTTTAGGTTCCTTAATTGCAACTTGGTGACACAGCTATCTGCCTTCCTTTCCACCTTTTCCAACCTTTAGTAATTGTCTATTATTCTCCTACATTCAGAACAACTTTTTTTCTGGCATCCACATATGAGAGAAGACACACAATGTTTTGTTTGTGTTTGACTTACTTCACTGTGTCCTACAGTGCTATCCATTCTGTTGCAAAGGATAGGATATCATTCTTTTTCATGGCTGAATAATACTCCGTTGTCTCTTCATCTGAAGATGGGCACATAGGCACCTCGGTTGAATCCATATCTTAGCAAAGATGAATAATGCTGCAATGAACATGAACGTGCAGATGTATCTGATATGTGGTTATCATTTCCTTTGGAGATAAACCCCAAAATAAGATAGCTAGGTCATATGGTAGACCTACCTTTAGTTTTGTTAGGAACTCTGCTCTGTTCTCCATAGTAGTTGTGCTATAGAATCCCCTTTCTCCATATCTTCACCACCATGAATGAAAATTCCCTTTCCTCCATGTTCTTGCCAGCACTTATTTAATAACATTCAGTGTGTTTTGATCCATTGCACACAGTCTTTGATGAGTTACGAAGTGAGTCCTTGTGATACAAGCCCAGAAGACTAGCTTCCTAGGGCTGCTTTAACACATTGCCTTCAGCTGGGGTTTTCTGTTGTTCTTTTCTTTTTTTTGAAACAGGGTCTGGGTCTTTAAAACATTTATTCTGTCACAGTTCTGGGGGCCAAAAGACTAAAATCAAGATGTTGCCAGGGCTGCTTCTGGAGTCTGAGGGAGGACCCATGCCATCGTGCCCTCCCAGGTTCTGGTGGTGGTTAGCAGTCCAGTGTCTGTCTATTTCCATGTTCCCCTTCCCTGTCTGTGTATCTGTATTGCTTCTCCTTTTCTGTCTCTCACAAGTACACCCATCATTGGATCTAGGCCCCCTCCCAGCCCGAAATGATCTCAGGATTTTTACCATAGATTTTATTTCACACAAGGTCATGGGCTTCAGGTAGACATATCTTTTGGGGGCCACAACTGACTACACTACAAGGTCCAAGTTCTTAGTACCACTGAGGTATGGATTTATTTCTGACTCCCAATTCTATTCCACTGAGCTCTAGGTCTGTCCTATGTCAGTGTTGATTATGTGTGTCCTTTACCATGTGGTTTAAAATCGCTGGAAGCATTTACACAGTATTAGGTTTTCTTTGAATTCCTAGCTCATATGTTGAGTTTTGTTGCCCAGTTCTCATATTTATCACTTCTTACCTAGAATCCATTTTCAAGCTCTTCATTCTTTTTTTCTTTAAATTTTTTCTCTTTTCCATCTTCTTTTTTTTTTAAGACATTATCAATTATATTTATTTGCTTCTGTGTCCTGCTTCATCAGTTTTTATTTCTGAAATCTTATTTCTCTTTCCTGGATTCTGTCATTTCTTTGTATAATTTTTCTTTTTCTAGGTTATCTACTTTCTAAGTATTTTTAGTTCTGATTTATTTTTTCATAGCCTACATCATTTTCTTAGCTTATTTTAAATCTGTTTTGTTGGCATTTCTTTTTCAACTACTGGTGTTTCTTCCTACTGAGGGGATTTGTCTTGGCAGACTGCTTTGTCAGTGGTGGAAGGGAGCTTACAGGACCAGCCCCAGACCATTCCAGCTCTGTCAGACCTCACCATGGACTTTCAAACATGCCTGTCAATAAGAATCTTTAACTTTGGAACATTAGAGGTGTGAAAGGCAAGGGAATGAAATAACCTCTTGGGTTTGTCCGCAATAACAGACAGGGTCGTGTAATGTCATACATTGCTGACTTGGGGGCAGCAGCCAGAATGACTGTTGACTCCCATCTCAAGTTCCAAATCTGCCGACGTAGGATGTCTTGGACATCAAATGAAAAAGTTATTACACTGGATGCTTTGGTAAATATAAGTTTCTTATACTAGTATAATTTAAAGGTGCCAGAAAACATAATATATAATGTAATAATGTAATGTATTTTAAGTTGGAGGCAAACTCCTTTCTGTTTATTTTTGTTTAAAGAGCTTAGTGGGCTTTATTAGCAATTTTAGAATCTGGTCACACTATTCTATAGTACTCTCCAAACTCCTTATTTTTGTATGGCGCAATTTGAAATCTTAAAGATCAGTCAACTACTTTGGTGCTAAAACTTACCTAGTTAGCAAATGTCTTCTTTTTTTAGAAAGCATCTTCACACATGTTTCTCAGATATGTGCAGTAATCTTCCCCCTAGTTTCCAGATGAGGAAATGACATGGAAGGGCTGAGATGACCTCCTGGGCCCAGAGTTCTTTCCACAGCATTGTGGTGCACATAATATGACCTTAGTTCTCTCCCAGGATTTTTTCCCATCAGGGAACATCAGTCTCTGGCACATGCTGTCCACCCTCCCCACACAGTGACAAGGACACTTCTGGCCTTCTTCCTTGACTCAGGAAGCCGGAGTCCTGACACCACAATGCAGGGTCATGAAGGACAGCCCAGCAAGGAGGCAAGCAGAGGGGAGGATGTGGAAGGGAAGACACATGGCTCAAAGTGATTGAGAAGCCTGAGTGGGGAAGGAACAAGATTAGGGAGAGAAAAAGAGGAGAAAAGGAGGCAAGAAGTAGGCCTAGGATTTTGAGTTTAGCCTCTTGGAACATGGTGTTCGGAGATCCAAATTCCAAGTTTGGAGTCCCCATCCTTCCGCTGTTTGGGATCCACTTCTTTTTTTGTTTTTTTTTTTGGTACTGGGATCGAACTTGGGTCCTTGAGCTTGCGAGGCAGACAGTGGCACCACTGAGCTAGATCCCCAGCCCTGGGATCCACTTCTTGAGTGTGGTGCCCATGGAGACCATCTGTGTGGGACCTGGATGTTGAGGCCACCTCCTCAAAGGGTGGTAGTGATGGAGGGTGATAGTTATGTGGTACCTAGCTCAGTAATCCAAAGGCAGTGGTAATAGTGTTGTTATTTGATCTTTAAGAACCTTGTCAAGGCAGGAAAAGCAACACTTACTAGTTCTGGGGAGATTAAGTGACCTTTCCCTCTTCAGTTGCCGATTTTGTAGGACTAGACCCCAGAATTGCCGCATGGCTCATAGATCCAAGTGACACCGCACCTTCTTTTGAGGACTTAGTGGCAAAACACCTTGAAAAGTCTGTTACAGTTGAAGTGAGCAGCACATATGGAAATTCCTCAAGAAATAATGTGGTGAGTCATTTTAAGATGTGGTTTATTCACCTTAATATTACTTTGACTTTTTTCTGGACACTTTCCTACTTCATAGCTAATCCAGTAGTAAAAAGAACATTGTTAACCTTCATTTTCACTTATTCCACACAAATTCTTTGACTTTGGCATTTCTGGTGCGGGGTGGTGATAGGACGGGAGATTTCCCACCTCCTATTCCTGGGGAACCTCACTCACAGTGTGATTCTTCTGAGTGGATTCTCTGCTGTCAAAGTTGATTGTTCCATGAGCAGAGAGCTGCCTCTCTATACACCTTTAGTGCTGGTAAGGTGGCCACTGTTGCTAAGCTCCTGGGAAGCCCCCTCAGCCCATGTGGGGAGAACTGTGAGACCGACCCTGCTGACTCTCCTCAGCCCCCACCCACCCCTGAGGATAGGGCTGGTGGGTGAAGTGCTGCTTATGAGCAGCACTGGGCAGAGGGAACTTGAGGTAGAGCACAACAGGGACTCGGAGCTGGGATTCACCCTCTGCCCTTCATCCTCCTGACCACTGTGTGGGGGAGGCTATAAATAACAGAAATGTACTCTTTCAGTTTAAAAAGAGGCTCACCAGAAGGTCGTGAGGTAGCTTCAAGAATCAGAGGAAAAGCAGAAGAAGGCCTTGCAAAAACAGGAGCCTGCAGCCCTGGGGACCCTGGGTCAGGGCCACTGCCACAGTGCCGACATCGAGCCAGAGTCACAGTTTGGCTCTTGGAGAGTGGGTTCTTTCCCTCATGGTCCAGTGTCCACTCCAGCAGGGGAAGGCAGGGTCCTGTGGTCAGCGTTCCTACTCAGAGTCCTGCTGTCAGGCAGAGAGCCGCCCCCAAATGGAAGCTGGGATATCATTACTGAAGGAAAGAGTCGCCTACCTTAGTATTATCAGTCCCAGTTTTCTAGTGGGGAAACGGAGACATTCAAGGTTAATGTACACTAACTTCACCCAAGGTCAAGTGGAGGCCAAGGTTCAGTATGGGTTTCAGACTTTGTTTCTTTCCAGCATTTCCATATATTTCCTTTCCAGTATGAGAAAAGATGGCTTGAGTTGCTTAGGAGAAAGGAAGAGCACTCACAGAGAGGGAGTAGCACGGGAATGACAAGGCCACCCAGAGAACAGATGCCGGGCACTTGGTGGGAGGAATGAGGGCTCTCATGGGGCTGTGCCACACCTAGGAGCTAGCCTGTGCTGGGCCATTCAGAGTGAAAACACATGGCTGTTTTGGAGTTGAGAAAGCCCCTGCAGCCAGCATTGTCAAATTCTGCCAGGTGGTGGCTGGAAACCGTCTACCTAGTGTCCTCTGATGGGTCATTCCTTGAGAGCCAAGACCAGGAAACAAGAGTCCTGTCTGGATGTATGCAGCCAGCCACAGCCCTCCAAGTTCACTCAGAGGCCTCTGGCAAAAACTCAGCCTGAGTGGCCTAGGCTCTGGGGTACTGAGCAGAGGTAGACTGTGTGTTAAGGGGCTACCTCTCATCCCCTTTCTGTGCATCAGTCATAGCCCTTTTAGGGGTCTCCCGGGGCCCCTTCAGGCATCTGTGCCAGAGTGGAAATGGACAGGTGAGTGTGGGAAATGGCAGCCATTCTGTGTGGCTGAGGAGGGGTGCGGCCCAAGAAAGGACTCTGTTCTCGCTCTGCCAGTTTATCCACTGTCCTAGGCTCTCTTTGTGCTTCTGTCTCTTAGTCTGTAAAATGAAGAAAACCTTGAGTGGTGAGAAAGTGCCTGCTGTGCAGAGCTTGTGCCTGCACAGTGGAAGTCTTTCAGTAGACTGGGCCTTGTCTACCTGAGGCGACTGGTGATGATGCCACCACATGTAGCGTCTGCCAGCAGAAGCTCCTGGGGGTTCACTAGGAACACTTAGGAGTTGTGTCATCTTCCAGACTGTGATGAACATTCTTCTAAGTTGGTCTAAATTTTACTTTTTTCTCTTTTAAAGTATCAGAATGTACGTGTGAACCTGAGTATACTCTACAGACTTACGAAGGACCTGTGTTCCAAGTTGAAGGCAAGACATTTTGTTCTGAGTTCTGGTTGTGCAAGATGTGACTTCTCACATTCACTCACAGGGCACACTCCCAGGAGAAGGTAAAGGAAGTGACATGTTTGTTCTAAGGTCCCACTCAGGAAAGGACAGATTGAGGGGTAAGGCCCCAGGTTTTAGAATGCTTTCTTTTTTTTTTTTTTTTGGTACCAGGGATCAAACTCTGGACCTTGCGGTTGTGAGGCAGTGGTGGCACCACTGAGCTAAACCTCCAGCCCCTAGAATGCTTTCTTTAGGTAGGAAACAACCGTAGCCTGTTTCCATGCCTCCCCTTTACTGGGGTGTTTCTGTAGCGCACATAGCAGCAGAGCTTTTGTTTTGTTCAGTAAAGAAATGGACTCAGCTCCCCTCACTCACTATCTTCCTGGGAAGCCACAGCCACTGGAAGGGACAGCTGAGGGGCCAGAAGGAAGAGAGTGGGTCCAGGGGGGAAGGATGAGTGAACGTACTAGCGAGAGGGAGTGGCCTGTGTCTGGGTGTGTGTGTGTGTGTGTGTGTGTGTGTGTGTGTGTGTGTGTGTGTGTGTGTGTATGGCCAACCCACCTTGGATCACAGGCAAGGCAGAGAATCGGTCTGGAGGGGCAGGCAGAAAAGTCAGGGAGGTGGGGGCTGCAAGAGGAGTCCAAGACTCAGATGGCAGCAGGAAGAACAAAGATGAAAGTTCTCTGATGAAGAACATGGGAGGGGGCCAGGGATTTAGCTCAGTGGTTCTGCCACCTGCCTCGCACGCACAAGGTCCTGAGTTCGATCCCCAGTACCAAAAAAAGAAGAAGAAAAGATCATGGGAGGGGAGGTGAATAAAGGTGAGGGCTTTGTGCTCATAGAGCAGGTGGCCCAACATAAAGATCACAGCGCCTCCCACTAGCTGGCAGTGGCAATGAGAAATCAGTGACAATTTGGGTACATTTATAGGAATTTAGTAAACCCATTCTGAAATTAAAATAAAGACTAAAAGTCCACAAGTATTTCATCTTAAACATGAGAGTATGGTGTAATCCTAGCTACTTGGAAGGCTGAGGAAAGAGGGTCACAAATTCAAGCCCAACCTTGGAAATTTAATGAGACCTTGTCACAAAACAAAAGTTTTTAAAGGGATATGGAACTGGGCATGGCTGTACATACCTGTAATTCCAGCAGACTGGGAGGCTAAAGCAGGAGGATTCCAGGTTTGAGCCCAGCCTGGGCAACTTAGTGACTCAGTGAGACCCTGTCTCAAAATAAAAAATAAAAGGGCTGGGATGCAGCTCAGTGAGAAGGCTTTGGGTTCAATCCTCACTATTGGGGGGAGGGTTTGGAATGGTCCTTGGCTTGCCTGACATTTCTGAATAATTTTCTCTACCAGGTCTTTTTTTAAAGCAAAATATTTATTGGTACCTTTTAGATGTACATAATGGTAACATTCATTATAGGGAATTTGTACCTGTACATGATATATCTTGCTTCTTCCTTTTCCCCCCATTCTACCAGGTCTTGATGATAAAGCAGGATATGTAACAGAAATAAGAATTTTATAAAAAATAAGAATTTTATCAGGAAGAACAGGGAGAGGAGTAGATGTGGGGAAGAAACCTGCCCAACAGGAATTGCCTTAATTCTAGCTTCACAAAGTCATGTAACTTTTCAACAAATCCTAGTTTAAAGATGTATTTCTTCTTATGAAACAGGCTAATGGTTTATGGCAACTATTTTGTACATTGGAGCTTCCTCTGATCCCAGTTTTGGCAGGTAAGTTACCATAAAGACAAAGCGAGTCATTTTACTAGAGAATTCTTCACGTTGTTTGGAAATGAATCTTCTCTGTAGCTCATTTAGCAATAGGTGCTGTGTCTCCTGGGCTTCCAAGGGGTGCCAGTCCTTTATTTTCCTTTCTGAAACAAGAGGGCTTGGGCTGTGTCACCTCCTGATGTGGAAGAACATGAGAGTTCTGACGTTTGGTCTTTGGGGACCCTTGCTAGTCTGTCTGCCAGAGGAAAAGCCCTGCTGGGCACTCATCTGCTGGCCATAGTCTCTGATCCTGCTTTCTGTCCTCCCCTTGGCCCAAGAGCTTCTGGAAACCCTCCCGTCATCACTGCAGGCCTCTCTCCCACATTTGCCCCTCCCGGGTCCTGCCAGGCCCACAGAGAGCCCGTCCTCACAACCAGGTTGACCTTCACCCCCCAATGGCCAGCTCTGTCAATGTTCCTGTGTCCTGATTCTGACACGGGGATGCTACCAGGCCCTGTGCTGAGGACACAGCAGTTGCTGTCATTGTGTCCTCATCAGGAGGGGGCTCTCTGCCTATACTGAAAAGAATTCACTCATGCAACACAAATACAGTCTGAATTGATTTTGAATCACAGTGATGGAAAACCACAAGATTCAGGTGAACAAAGAAGAAATGGAGAGGATCTCAGCACTTCTTGGGGTGAGCTGTCATTTCAGACTTGTTTCTCTACAGCAGCCTCATAGACCGTGCTTTGCCCCTGCCCTGTTGGCCCCAGTCCCTCCTGTTCCTTGGCCCTGAGGGGAGAACGGAGCACTGAAGGGCTTAACCACATCGCATCCATTGGGGGGAGCGGTGTTGCATCCATTAGGTATGTGTGAAATTCTTTAATGGATCTTCAGGCTCCTTCTCAAAAGTTAGCTTTTTCTTGGGCCAGGGATTTAGCTCAGTGGTTCCGCTGCCTGCTGTGCAAGTGCAAGGACCCAAGTTCAATCTCCGGTACCAAAAAAAAAGTTAGCTTTTGCTTGCAAGAACTTTACTCCTAGGTTTAGTGAGGGAATTCTTGGGTTTCCTGAAAAATAAAAATAGAGAAAGATGCATGGGAAATGTAAAAAAATGTTCCACCTGAATTACGTCAAAGGAAAGTCTAGTGTAACCACTCCTGAGCCAGAGCCTGGGATGTCCAGACCCCATGTGCTTTTCCTGCTGAACCCCCTTCCTGCTGCCGGAAATGTCCACCACCCTGCCTTTGTAGTCATTTATTTGGTTGTTGCTTTTCTTTATTGTTTTCCACATCAGAGCCAACTTGACGTTTGCTTGCTTTTGATCTGTAAGTCAGTCAGTAGTTTGTGGGTGACTTTTCCATCAGGCCCCTGTGCCTCTGCCCCACCAGCATTGCCATGTGGCCTTCAGAGCCATGGACTGTGTTGCAGTGCTGTCTGCCCCACTGTCCAGAGGCATCTGGTAGCTGCCAGATTATGATCACAACAACCACGCATGTGTTTAGATTCTGTTTTCCTGCTCACTAATGGGGTGCTTTTCTACTGTCACTGGCTATGAGGAGTTTCTTTTCTACAAAGGATCTGCTCCAGTGTTTTACTTATTTTTTTTCCTTAAATTCTTTTATTGGTACATTTTAGATATACAATATGTTTACATTTATCTTTGGGTGCTTGTACCTGTACATGATGTATCTTGGTTCTTATTTTTTCCCCATTACCTGTGCG